CCCCCTAGGACACAGCTTCCATGTTAAAAATGAAATTCAAGCAACTACATGGAGGGCCTTGCATTAAAGGCACAGACAACATCCCGCCAGTAGCCAGTAGCAAATTGCCAGTCCTAAGAGTGAGATTCCTGGAAGTGGATCTTCCAGCTTCTTGAGCTGACCCAGCTAAGCACAGACCAAACTGCAAATTTGTGGGTTAACTAAAGTTTTAAGTTACTAAACTTCCTGGCAGTTCATTATACAATAACTTTTAAAAATATATTTCCCAACTTATTCAGAGTCCTCAAAAAATGGATATGTGTGCACACGGGTTTGGGTATATATTTTTAAATGTTAATATACAGCATTTTTTTTTAAACTTGGGAGGAGGCCTCCCTGGTGGCGCCGGGGTTAAAGTCTAGTGCTATCTAGCTTTTCCCAGCCACTTCAGCAAGAGTTCGATCCCCAGCCAAGGAGCTGACCCACATGGTGCAGCAGACCTCTCCTGTCTTGCCCACTGCTCCCCTCAGCAATGTATTTCAGTAGATCTGCCTATTCTGCTCCCCACTCTGTCTCTGGTGAGTACACACACACACACACACACACACACACACTCACCCTGCCCTGCACCTTCTGCTCGGATCCCAGTTCTTATATGCATGGATAAATAAAATAAATCTTTAATTAAAAAAAAATAAACTCAGGGAGGGGGACACACCAAATTCCTGACTGGAGCAGAAGTGGAAGAATTTCCCTATTACATTTCCACACTTGATATTTTTTTTTGCACCAAGCCTATGTAACGTTTGGAGAGAGGAGACAAACTAATAAAGTGCTTCCAACAACCTCCCTGATAACACATCAGCACCAAGCATGTGTTTGCCATTATTTTTCTTACCTTATAACAGAGAAAGACATAGGCACCAACAATGAGCCTTGGGTCCCTCTGGTGCACACATCAGGGAACCTGCTGGCTGTGACCTTGGCCTTCATTCCCTTAGCCTTTAAAGCAGGGAGGCCACTCCCAGGAGAAGACCAAACATAGGGTTGGGGCCCAATATTCCATTCCAAATTGGACTTTGTCACTCTTCAGCTGTGTGATCTTTGGTATGTGGCTTGCCCCCTCTGAGCCTCATACTTCTTGGTTAAGAAAGGGGGTTAGATCAAGAAGATGTGGTACATATATACCATGGAATATTACTCAGCATTCAAAAAAGATAAACACATGCAGTTTGCAGCAACATGGCTGGAGCTGGAAGGGATCATGCTCAGCGAAATAAGCCAGAAAGAAAAAGAAAAATACCGGATGGTCTCACTCATAGCAGGAATCTAGAAAACTTAAATAAGGGACCAGGAAAATGAATAACTATAAGAAAGTGAAAATCAAAATCAACAAAAAACTATGAACCAGAGACACTTTTTGGGGGGTGGGAGCCGGGAGGGGAGGGATTGGGGTCAGAATGGGGCATTTGCAATTGTATGGGGGAATATAAAAATAAAATTTATTATTTAAAAAAAAAGAAAGGGTGTTAGGCATAAAAATATACCTGTGAGGGTTGGAAGAGTGATTGTACATGTTTGTCTTCGTTTGTCTGCATGTGTATGCACCCATGTATGCATGCTTATGAGTGTGTGCACATATAATCACACACACATACTCACAGTTTGCATGCATAGTCACATATATGCATACATAATTGCATGCCTGTACACTCACACGCACCCACTCTTATACACACAGTCTCAAACATGAGCACACGTGCACACACTTATACACATAGAACTAAGAGAGACCAGGCTCCTTAGTGACTGTTGTGCTGAGCCATGCAGCAAAGGGAGACATGCTCAAAGGAAGAAGGAGACCCCCCTGGTTCTTGAAAGTAGCGGGTATGGTGAACACAGTCCCTGGGCCTCAGAGATCCCACAGCCTCCCCCTTCTTTCATTCATCGCCATCATGCCTCTTATGGAAAAGTCAATGTGCGTTACAAACATGATGACCCTGTAAAATCCACAAGGCAAGGAGAGGATCGAGATACACACCAAGGCAGTCAAGTACATGGCTACCGCTGGGAAGGGCAGAGCCTGGATTCGAACTCACAAATGTAACATGAAAACCAAGTTATTTCCGCTGGTCAGTGACAACATTTCACTGAGTAAGGACCGAAGGAAGCCGGTGCAGAGTTTGGGGGATTGATGATGCGTATTTAGAAACCCTCAGTTGAGGTGGGATATGAAAGCAGCAGCGTCAGCAAGAGCCCGCGGCTCCAGCAAGGCCAGTTTCCACACTAGCCCAGTAGTGTCCAGTCGACGATCCCAGAACATGCCGCGAGGGGGCGCCCCAGGATCAGCTGCAGAGCTTGAGTTCATGTCAAGCCCCAGCACCCCACGTCACCCCTGCTGCACCCTATCCTAAGCAAACAGAGGGAGGACCCAGATCAGGACTAGGAGCCCAAGGAATGAGGTAGAAAAGACAGGGCCCGCTATGAGGTCCCAAGGGTATAATTGTAGAGCCTTAGATGAGTCCTTTAATTCTTGGGGGAAGGGGGCTTGAACGTCTTAATTTCCACTTCCCTTAACAGTACCCATCTCATAAAAATTGTACCCATAGGGATTAAATGAGAATATATGGGAAGGGCATACAGGAATTACTCAATTTCAAATCTCATTATTGTTATAATATTAGTACTTACCCCCTCTTCTGTAAACATACACACACACACACACAAAGGGCGGGATCTCACCCAGTCTTGGGGCTTTTTAAACACCACCTAAATACTGCGGCTTCCCAAATGTACATTCACAGCCCGGAACTCTCCAGAATTCCAGACCTGCCTACCCAACTGCCTAATTGAAGAAGCCAACACTTTTTAGTCCAAAGTGATACACTCAGTGCTCACACACACAAACACAATTTACTCTGTACAATGTCCCCAACTCAACTAATGGCATTTCCATCTTTCTAAACCCTTCTCTAGAAGGTTCCTTCCCCAGAATCCCACATTCCATCTATAAGCAAACCTGCCAGTGGAACCTCCCTGAAACAACCATTTCTCATCAGAATTTGATCCACATCTCTCACCTCTACAGCCCCCAGCTTGGTTTGAGCCACTGTCATCTCTCACCCAGACTAATGCAGTCATCCCACCAAATCACCCTAGTCCATTCTTGCTTCCTACCCTGTCCATTCAAAGTAACAGTCAAAGACTATATGACAAATCTTGTTACTGCTCTAAAAAGACTTCATAGTTCCTTGTTTCTCTCAAATTAAGTCAGTGTCTCCCAAGACTGTGTGATCTGCTTGCATCACCTGTCTGCTCTCATCTCCTCCCATACTCCTCCCTCCAAACATACCAGTCTTCTCAGTGCTCCTCCAAACACTCCAAGCTTGTTCCTACTTCAGGGTCTTTGCACTGGATGTCCTGCCTGCCTCCAGTACTCCTCTCCTAAATATCCACATGGCTCCCTTTCTCTCCTACCTAAAGTCTTTATTGCAATGGCCCCTTCTCAATGAGGATTTCACTGACCATCCTGCTACCCCTCCCCCCACTATCACTTCTCTTTCACCTGGACTAACGCGAGCACCCCCATCTGATCTTCTAGTCCCTCCCTTGGCTCCCACAAACTCTATTCAACACACAGTAGCTAAAAGATTACCATGAAAAGTCTGCTCAGAACTCCTCCAGTGACCCCCCCCAAGGTCCCATACTGTGTGAATTCATTTGTTTGGATATTGATCATGTGTCATCTGTTTTCCCCCTTTAGAATGTCAATTATGCAAAGGCTCAAATACTACCTGGCTCACTGCAGATGTTCAATAAATATATAAGGAATTGATATGATTATTGTATTATGCCCCACCTCTGAATCACCATCTTGGGGAATACTCCTCCATCCAGTTCTCCCAGCCAAAGACTGGGGAATCACCCATACATCCTCCCTCCCCCCAACCCCATGCCTAGACAGCCACCCCTCCTGTCCTTCCTGGAACTCTGTCTCCCTCTTTCCTGACTTCCCAGCACCAGTGCCTGTCCACGTGGCTGTCTCTGACAGCCCAGATCTGACCATGACCTGTCCTGTCCCAGGTCACACTCTATAGCAAATCTTGACCTGAACTACCTTCCACTCTCATTATGCAACAGCCTCTCCTTTGGAGCACTTGCCACAAGTCACAAACAAGCATTTACATGTGCAAGTATTTGTTCTACATCTCTAAGCTGTCCTCACCAGGGCAGTAATTGACCCCAGTGGTGCTCCAGACTCAGTGCCAGCAGACACTTAATATGCAGTCCGTTGATAAGACACATGAATGCACTCACTGTCCCCAAAAGTCTGTCTTTATGCCCAAGGACAAATGGCTTCCCAGTCTCCTAGTCCACAGGCCTCTAATTTCTCTGCTGGGCTCCAGGTGTAGGGTCTGGCCAGGCCAGGAGATGGAGGGTGGAGGGAGTCTGCATCCCTTGCTTTTATTCTACAAAAATCAAAACATTAGGCAAAAGGCCTTTGAGCAAGGGAGGAAGAAGTTTGAGAGGGTCTGGATTTACAAAACAACAAAAGCAAACGGCCTGGGGCCCTAGGATGCACCCTGATGCCTGAGGTGTGGGTCCATAAGAGCAGCGAGGGGTAAGAGGGTGGACCTCAGGAAGGTGATGTTTGGGTTCAAAGCTGACCGCTGGCTCCAGCTACAAGTCCTCAATTTAGGAGACAGCAGGGATTTATGGGGGTCCGGGCTTAAATTCGAGAGATCCTAAGTGTCTGGTCTGAGGTCCTCGTAAGGTTTGGTAGCCAGGTCTGGGGACCTGTATCTGCAGGATCTTGGGAATTAGGGCAGGGCCCAAGGGGAGCTTCGCCCCGGACCCTAGCAGGCGTGGCCAAGCCTGGTCCTGCCCGTAAGAGGGCAGGAAAAGGCACTCAGGGGACGGGGCCTGGACCTCAGGGGAGGGATCAGCCTCAGGCGGGAGGGCCTTGATTTAAGGGGCGTGGCCGACACTGTCAAAACTGTCCAGCTGAGGAGCCTGGTCTTCCAAGAACAGAGCCTGGACTTCGAGGGGCGTGGTCTCTATTCCCAGGATCTTTGTGGGGGGAAGGTTGGGTCCCTCGGAAGCGGAGCCTGGACCCACTGGATCAGCAGGTGCACGATGGCGCTCAGGCCCGCGGAGGCAGCGGCTCCACGTTGAGCCAGATGCCACTCTCCGTGCGCAGGATGAGCTCAGGCTTCCGCCGCACCTTGCGTGTTCTGTCTACTGTCAGGCGGAACCGCAGTAGCGTCAGCGCCACTGCCACGCGCATCTCCGCCATGGCGAAGCTCTGTCCGATGCAGTTCCTGGAAGAAGGGGGACATGGGTGGGTAGGTGAGCTGAGGCCTTGCCGCTGTGTGAGCTGAGGGTTCCCTGGGACTGATGGCCTACCCCCTCTGTGCCTCTCAGTGCCTCATCTGTAAAACAGGAAAAGTGGCAATACCGGGAGCACGTGAGCCTCGGGACCTGGCACACTGAATGCTCAGTACTAGGGATGCTATGGCAATCTGATTTGGGGACACCTGTTGCGTTAAGGGTTCAAAGAGGGTGCCAGGTTAGCGGAAAGAACACCTGAGTGGGACGTGATCTCGGCTCCTGGCTAATACAGCCCTAACGTTCCAGTGGCTTCTGTGTTCCTCTGAGGCTTGGACCAAATCACACTTGGCTTGGACTGTGGGGAAAAGAAGAGTTACCTGGGTCCTGCTGAAAAGGGCACAAAGGCCAACGGAGATCGTTGCTGCGGTTTGTCAGGGTCGAAGCGGTAGGGGTTGTACACCTAGGCGGGAGTAGCCTGGGGGTCAGTCTGAGGGCTGGCCCCGCCAACCCAACCTGATTCCCTCCATCAGCCTCTGGGAACCACCCAGGTGGACAGAAAGAACCACACTGCCATCCAACCCCCCTTGCCTTCTGTGTTCAGACATGACAGGCTCTTCCCATCACACGGACTTTGCCCCGCAACCCCACCCTTTCCTCTTCCTGCATCAGCTTCTCCGTGCTCTTCACACTCTTGGGTCTCAGTTCCAAGGTCCTCCTTGGTAAGGCCTTTCCTCCTCATCTGAACTGAAATGCTCCCCCTCCCTGCTTCAGTTTTAATTTCCTTTGTGTATTTATAAGCACCCAAAATGATTTTATATTTTACTTATTTTCTTCCTCCACTGTTGGATGTGAGCTCCATGAAGACAAAGACAGTGTCTTCTTCTGTCCTCAGTGCCCCAGCACAGGTTCTGGCACAGAGAAGTTGCTCAATAAATATTTTTTTTACCTCATAAATTAACAATGAGCAGATTTTTTAAATGGAGGGAGACACTTTCAAACCCTGCACCCAGTCCTGCAATCTGACTCCCTGGGGAGTAAGGGGAGAGGAGAACCATTGCCCCAGAATTGCCCTTTACAAGGAGAAAGAAGCTGAAGGAAAGGAGGTTGAGGTAGGAGTCCACCTTTGAGTCAGGCCACACTGTGGGGTTGTGGTGAGTCCCGTAGATGCTGACCAGGCAGATGATTCCTGCAGGGAGGGGTGGAATCAGTGGGGCAGAAGGGAGGCAGGGCCTCTAATTCTCCTTGGAGTCATACTGTTCCTATGAGCTATCTGCCACCCCTTCCTACTCCTTCCCTGAATAATTTTAATGCCCTTCAACTCCGCCTGCTTCTCCCTGCGGCCCCGATCTCTTTCCTTCCATGTGCCATGCTAGCCACACAGGAGTCTTTCTTACTCACATATCTGACCTTGCTCCTCCCCAGCTCAGATGCCTCCCATGACTCCCACTGCCCTGAAGATCAAGATATAATGCCTCCACTTGGCATTCAAGACCTTTCACAATCTGTGCCCGGAGGCTTTCCTGCATAAACACGCTCTCTCTTTCACTTCCAACCTCCAAGGCTCACCTCTCATGTTCTTTCTTCCACTCCCTATATTTCATGCCAAACAGAGTCATCGCTCCTTATTTGGGGCTGCTTCAGCCCCTATCCTTAGCCAATCCCTGACTCGATGTAGCTGGACACATCTGTGTCCTACTCTGTCTCCCCCAAACTGGGAGATGCTCAAGGCCTGGGCCTGGAGCTGAGGCCTCTGTAGACACCCACAACAGGGCTTGGTCTCCAGAAGATATCTGGCAACTGAATTAAACCCTCCCATACCTACACACTCACCTGGCCCACCCTTCCACACCCACTCCTTTCTTTCCACTTGAACTCACCCACAAGCCTGCAACTGGGTCTCTCCATCACCCCAAAAGCAACAAGAACACAGAGAGCTACCCCATCTACAGGGATGATGCAATGGGCCAGGCACAACCAGTTCCCTGGGGGCAGCAGAGCAGCACAGAGTGGGTGGGTACCTTTGGGGATGATGCGCCCATCTGGCAGCTTGATGTCCTGGGTGCAGCGACGGGAGACCAGGGTCACAGGTGGGAACTGGCGCAGGCTCTCCTTGATGCACATAGTGGTGAAGGGTAGCTGGATCAGGTCATCCCTGAGGATCACAAAGCAACAAGTGTTTAGGGTCAGGCCATGGCACTAACCCTTCCCCAAACACACACACACACTCTCATGCACATGCACACATATACCCATGCACATATGTGCACACACATGCATGTACTTGCACCTATGAACACAACTACATTCATATGTGCATTGCATACATATCAACACATACGTGCGTATACATACATAGTCACACTCACATACACTCATACACACTTCCCAAATCAAACATGCACATATAAGTATGCACGTGTACATGCATGTACAGATGCATATATGCATGTATAAACACACATGCTCACACACATACTCAAAAACAACGGCACAGGAAATCAGTCCAGGATCTCAGATTTGCCCCAACTTCCAGCATTAGCAGTTATGCCATATACACACCATTGATCTTCACTGCAAAATAGTTGAAACGCCCCCCACCAATCAGAGCCGCAATAGTGGTCCTAGCATTAACCCTTCAACAGATGCACTAAGTGGAAGTCACTGGGAATTCAGAGCGACCCAGGGCCATAGCCATTTACCAGCCTGTGTTTTATTTACTTAATTTTAACTTACTATTATTTATTTAATTTTTTTCTTTAGACTTCACAGTCCAAAATCAGACTAATTATAACTCTTGGTTCATGATCTAGATTGTTTTCTTTAAACCAGTAGGCTGTCTTGTTGGGGGGTTTTTGGTCCTTTTTGTTTTTTTCTAACATTTTAAAAGGACAGGTTTATTAGGAAAAGGACAAAAAAAAAGGGAGGCACCTCCATAGTCACAGGTGGGCAGGAGCCAGGCTCTCTTTCAAAGAAATTTTACGTCACTACCATAAATGGCAAAGGCTACACCTGCACCCATAAACTTGGGCTCTATTAGAAAACGGGAGAGTGTTATCACTGCTAGCTCCCCACCACCCCCTCCTGCCCAGCTCTCCGAACTTGAGCCATCTTCTCCTTTTGTTAAAAAATAAAAGGGGTGGGGCAGATCAACAAGGATTAGCAAGGTACGATGATATTAAATATACCCAACTGAGGGTGTTCCCCTGAGGTCATCCCACTGAGGTAATAATCCAAAAGGCTGACATTGAACCTAGAGGGACTTCTGTCACTGTTAGATGTTAACAGGGATGGATCCACTGGATAAAAGAGGTCAATTGCTTGGTGATAGATGGAAACTAGACTTCATGTGTTGATTCTTAAGACCATACACCTGAAACCTATATGATGTCATGAACCAATGTCACTTCAATTAAAAAACTAGATGCTATTTAATGCTGTGTTCTCTTTGCATCATCCAGAATCAGCTCTATATAGCACATATCTGAAGGAATTCGGGTTACAGGCATACCTTGTTTTATTACACCTCACTTTATTGCACCTCACAGTTATTGGGGTTTTTTTACAAATTGAAGGTTTGTGGCAACCTTGCATCGAGCAACTCTGCTGGTGCCATTTTTTCCAATAGCATTTGCCCACTTTGTGACTCTGTGTCACATTTCATTAATATATGTCCATTGTTTATTATACACAATGCTATTGTACACTTCGCAGACTCCAGTATAGTATAAACATACATATAGTATGTTTATGCACTAGGAAACAAACCAAAAAAATTGTATGACTCACCTATTTGCAATACTCATTTTATTGCAGTGATCTGGAACCAAACCCACAATATCTCTAAATTGTGTTCTGTATTGTTCCTGATTCTTCTCATCTCCCCTATATTCCAGTTATGTACTGGTACCCTGTCATGTGTTTTTCTGCTCAAATGGGTGGAGTTTATTTCCTGCCCCATTCATGTTGGGTTTGGCCAGATGACTTAATTTAACATTGCATGTAACATTAAGAGGTTTTAAACCATGCAAGAGGTTTTAAATTGTGTGACTCTTTGTGCTTCTGGAATGTGCCTTGTGAAGAACACACCCAGGGTATCTGCCATTCCAGCAGTAACAAGAGTAAAATACAGACAAGAACAAACATAACTCCTTGCTGTAAACCTCTGTTTGGGCACTGTTTGTCATGCAGCATTATTGCAACCATTGCTGATAAAGACACTCCTTACTAAGAATTCCTGCACTACTACTAGGAAGGCATATGTGTTACTGTCATCTCCATTTTACAGTCAAAGAAATTGAAATTCAAGACACTTAAATGATGTATCTGGGGCTGAGTAGTCAGTATATTGTCGAATAGGGACTCACACCCATGGTTGTAGGCTCTACCTACCCACTACCCTGCCCCTAGCCCCAAACTGACCATTCCAACTCCTCCAGCTCCCGGCCTTTCATGACTTCCTGGATTTCTTCCCGACACTTCTCCTGGTACTCTGGATACTTGGCCAAATTGAATAGCACCCAAGAGAGCCCACTGGATGTGGTGTCATGACCTGCAGGCAGATGAGACGTTCAAATGGAGGCTGGCAGGAGATGGTGGAAATGCTGTCTTCAGACAATGTAGGCCTTTCCTGTCCTACCCCACCCTCATCCCACATCCTCACCCTCAAACATGAAGGTGTCTGCTTCAGCCCGGATGTCCTCATCTGACAGTTCCTTTCCATCTTCATCCTGCAATGGGCAGTGGACAATGCTCACTCCACTTCATCCCATCCTCTACATTCTAGGGGTCCTAAGTTAAAGACATCCCCCAACTTAAAACAAGCAACAAGGGAAAGTTTTCCAGGCACAGTGAGGTGTGCAGCTTGTCTAAGAAAGACTGAAAGAGGGAAAAAGAGTCACAGAATGGGAGGAAAAAGGGAGTTTATTTCTTGAGCAGCTATTAGTATCAAGTCTCCCACCAGATGCCCAACAACGATCTCATGATCAAGTCTCATGATCATCGCGTTGTGAAAGAGGAAACTGAGGCCCAAAGAAAAAGTTTAAATGACTAAGGTCAAGCATCCACGAAACAGCAGACCCAGAACTGGAATCCAGGACTGTCTGAATCCAGGAATGTAGAGCCGAAATTTCAGAAATTCCACTGAGCAGCACTAATAGGTGACTGGTGGATATAACGCTGTGTCACATTTCTTCCAGGTCTGGGATTTCATCTTTGCAAGTGTTACAGGTTGAATTGTACCCCACCCCCTCCTCCAGAATTCATACTTGAAATCCTCTCAGGAATGTGATCATATTTAAAACAGGGCCTTTGCCAAGGTAAGTGAGTTACAATGAGGCCATTAGGGCAGGCCCTAAGTCAGTACGACCATTGTCCTTACAGAGATGAAATTTGGACACAGATATGCACAGAAGGAAGACAGGGGAAGAGGACCATCTACAGGCCAAGAAGGGAGGTCTCAAAAAAACTAACTCTGCTGACACTCAGGCATCTAACCCACAAAACTGTGAGAAAATTAATTTCCACTGTTTGAGCCACTGGGTCTGTGACACTTTGTTATGGAAGCCTAGCAGACTAATTCAGTACTCCTGGGTGTTCTGCACTGACCAGCACCCTAGGTCCACTCTAGTTTGGAAGTTTACATTTTATTCAGTTGGTAGGATTCTGGGGGTGTCAGCCTGGGCAGGGCTCCAGCCTCACCCTCGCCAGGAGTAGGACATCAATGAAGTCCAAGGTCTTGCCCTGCTTGGACTTAAGCCAGGCCTCGGCCCCCTGCTGACGTAATGCCCTCCGTCGCTCCTGGATGACCTCGGTGGTGAAATGGTGCACCGTGTCACAGGCCTCCCGGAACCGGCGTCCATCAGCGGTGCGGTAATAAATGAAGTCGATATAGTGGTGCAGGCGATACTGGCGCCGCACAGCCAGGGCACTCAGCTCGATGATGGCCGAGATGTAATCACTCAACTTCCTGCCAGGTAGAAAAAGGGCCATGAGCACAGGCCCATCCCATAGGACAAGCTTCCTCCACCAATAGGTAGGTGACAAAGAGAGGCTGTTTATTAACTATGTTTTCCTGTTTTCTGTGTTCTGGATGTTCTGTCATCTGGGATCTTGCTCACTGGAGAGACAGGAACCTCCCGGGACTAGCCAGTTCTTAGATGTAGCAAAAGACCCCAAAGTCCATTGGCTGAACCACTATCCATCTGCCTTGGTTACTCCAGGACCAGATACTGGACAATCAGAAGCAGCCTCTGTGGCCAGGGCCCTCTGGAAATATCAAATTAACCAATCTTAAACCTGCTTGCCCTGCCTTTCCAGTTCTTTCCTGCAGAAGCTCCCAAAAGGCTTATGCCATGCTTTCTACTGATTGACCCTGAAAACCCTGCTTCCCTGTGCGCCCCTGTGTGCTCCAACCTCCTGAGAACTATAAGTTATAAACTATCTCTTCAATGGTAATCATCTCCTGATGTGTTGGCTTCACCACACCTGAATAAAACCAAAATCCAGGTACACTGTAAAATAGGCCCAAAGATGGATGAAGACTTCCAAATAGATATAGTGTCACCAAAACTAACTGGTTGCAAAGTGCAAAGAAGAAGAAAATATATCTGACAGGGAATTTACATCTAAAATATGTAAGGAACTCTTAAAACAAGAATAATAAAAAGACAACTCAATTCAAAAATTGGTCAATATGACTAGATATTTCTCCAAAGAACAAATAGAAATGGAGAGTAAGCACATGAAAAGGTGTTTAACAGAATTACCTATCAGAGAAATACAAATCAAAATCACTATTTCACCCCAAACAGGAATGGCTATAATGAAAAAGATAGATAATAACAAGTGTTGGTGACGGTGTGGAGAAAGTAGAGAGTAAGAGAATATAAAACAGTGCAACTACTTTTGGAAAAAGTCTTGCAGTTCCTCAAAAGGTTAAATCTAGTTATCATATAACTCAGCAATTCCACTTCTAGGTATAAACCCAAAAGAATTAAAAACAGGGCCTCCCCGGTGGTGCAGCAGTTGAGCGCTGGGTTGCAAAGCTGGCAGCAGCCTCTGCAGTGCCAGTTCGATCCCCGGCCGCCGGGCAAGGGTCCCACATGGCGCGCAGACCTCTCCTGCCGCCCGCTGCTCCCCTCAGCAGTGTACTTCATCAGTCTGCCTGCTCTGCTCTCCCCTCTGGCTTTGGTGAATTCTCTCACCCTCCCATGCTTCTGACTGTACCCAGTGCTTGTATAAATAAATAAATAAAACTTTAGGAAAAAAAAGAATTAAAAACATATGTTCTCACAAACACTTGTCCATAAATGTTTATAGTGGCATTATTCCTATTCACCAAGAGAGTGGAAACAGCCCAACTGTCCACCAATGGATGACCAGATAAATAAAATGTTGTAAAATGTGGTAAATAGAATATTATTAATCAAATTAGAATTATTAATACATGCTACAATATGGGTGAACCTTTAAAACATGCTGAATGGATGAAACCAAACATAAAAGTTTCTATAATTCTATGCATATGAAACTTCCATGATAGAATAAATTTGTAAAGAGAGATGTAGACTAGTGATTTCCTAGAGTTGTTAGTTGGGGTGAGGGGTGACTGCTGAAATGTGCAGGGTTTATTTTTGGTGAAGATATTCTAAAATTGATTATGGTGATGGCTGCACAATTCTGTGAATACAGTAAAGACTCCTGGATTATATACTTTAAATGGGTGAATTACATGTGAGTCACATCTCATAAAGGTATTGTTTTTTAAAAAATACTACATTGCAGGATATTGAGGACCTACTATGTGCTACAAACTTCACACTTATTCCTTGCCCCTTATTCCTTATACCTCCAAAGAACAGAAACTTAATCCATTGCTCACCACTATATTCCCAATAGTTTGCATAGTGTCAGGCACATAGTAGGCACACAATGAATACTTGATGAATCAATGAATGTACCAGGGAAATGGTTATTTTACTCGTTCATTAATCTGAAAAATACTCACTGAGTATCTACTGTAATGCCAGGACAGTGCTACAACCATCTTTCAACAAGTTCAGGACTGTCATTTTTATGTTACAAACAAATAATTGAGACTCAGAGAGTGGGAAATGCTTCCCACTCTTCTTGGAGAAATGAGCACAACTAGCATTTCCTTATCACCTACTGTGTGCTAAGCCACTGACTGACATTATCTCATTTAATTCTCACAAGATGACTATAATGAAGGAATTAGGATGTCAATTATTTTGGATAAGGAAAAGGCTCAGAGATGTGATGTCAACTCCCCAGAACACAAAGAATTTCAGTGGCAGGGTGCTAGCTTCCCAGAACTTCCTAACACCTAACATTTTCTTTTCTCCTCCCACCACCTCACTCCTAAAGTGCTGCCTCTGTCTTTCCCAGAGAGGGCACACTCACTCCTGGCAGTTGCTGTTGTAGCTGAAGACACACTTCTGAAGACTGTCCAGGGTCATGAGGCTGACATGCTCAAACATGTCAAGGGAAACCACCGAACCCTGTGCCAGGCGCCGCCATTTAGCCTGGAAAAGAGAGATGTATTGCCATGGGTATGGTGACTTCGGACTTTAAGCCAGGCTGACAATGCCTAGCCACTTGCTCACTACAAGCCAACTTTGTAGATAAAGAAGCTTCCTAATATCACATAGCTTGCCCATGTGTTGGAGCCTGGACCAGTTTTACTCCCAGAGCAACCTCTTCCATGAAACTATGGGACTCACATGCATGATGTCAGTGCACTGGTTGAAGATCTTCATGTAGGGCTTCAGAATGTCGAAGTGGAAGGCAGGTGTCAGCATGCGACGGTGCCGGCTCCACTTGTCACCTTTGCTGAGCAGCAACCCATCTCCTGGAGTCATAACATTGTGGTTATGGGCCAGTCCTGTTACTCTGAAACACACTAAGAAATTCCATGCCCTGTCCCCTCTTCCCTAAAACCCAAACTACCCAGTCCCTTACTCACCCAGCCAAGGTTTCAGGAAGCCATAGAAAAGATCATCCTTGGGGGCAATGGCAGCTGTGGAGGAAAATGTAATGATGGCTCAAAACAGAGCTCTGACCCTTGACCTCAGTTTATGACCCCCTTGGGTCTCCTATCCGGGTTACAAAAAAACACCTTGCCCCTCTAACCTCCACACCAATCCCATAAAGATCCTTGTAAACATAAGCCTCCCCTGCTCAAACACCTCTTATGCCTCCCTATTGCCCTTGTTCAAAAAAAAAATGTTTCAACTCAGGCTAACACTGAAAACCCTGCTCCATCTTGCCCCCTGTATACCTCTTTTACCTCATCCTTCAACATACACCGAATAACCTCACATGCTACTCTTCACCTTTACCCAGTATGTGTTCCCCACTCACAATGGCCTACTTCACCTGAGTCTTCCCCTAGTCCACCCCTCTTTTCTCCTAGCTCAGCCTCCGACTTCACCTTGACAGTATGTCCTGCACACTGGTGCCAGTGGATCTTATCAAATTCTAGATCTGAATGAGTACTTTCCTGCTCACACACCCATCAGTCTCAAGCACCAGCTGCCCAGCCCAATTTCAAAGCCCTGAGTGATGGACCCCAGTCCACACTTCTCCCAAAAAACTATTTTTTTGTTTTAGTGTCAGTGAATGACTTTAGAAAACTACAGTCAGGCTATCTTTATGAGGAACAGTATAAGAACCCAAAAACCTATGATGGGAGAAGCTAAGGACAGGCAAGAATGGTGAGTTGTGTGCTCAACACAATGATGCCTTATGACTTTGATTAAAAATAGAAAAAAATTAGTAATGTCCCCACCCCCTGCATATTTCACACACACATACAGCCCCACTCCAAACTGTGTCTGCCACTTGCAATTTTTAACAAAATTCAAGCAATCTTGATTTAAGCTAGATACAGTCCCTGGAACAAACATAGCTTCCTTCCCATCCTCCCTCTACCTTTTCTTCTCCAAATATTGAGCACATCATTTGTGCCTAGTATTGTGCCAGTTGAAGAAATACAAAGAAGAAAGAGGTATCATGACCCTTGAGGAAAGAGGATTGTGGGGCAAGTGTCTAGAAAGTGGATACACAAACAAACCAGGCCCATACCATGAACCACATCCATCAGGTTCAAATCCTAGGCGAACATTTTGCATGAGAGTTGAAAACATTTAGTCATGTTTACAGGGTCTTAAAGCTATTGAAATGTGTAGTCTTAAAAAGATATATCCTAGTTGTGGAAGTTGGGGGTTGGGATGGAAGTGTGCTGGCCTTCAAAGAACACAGCAAAGGTGACAATCACCGAGAGGTCTGAAACCCACTGGAGCAGAAGACAGCGGCAGCTTGATAGACTGAATTCCAAGTAATCCTTTACAGTGGATCCATGGGGATTTGGTTGAGACAAAGTTTAAGAAAGTGTTCCCAATTCTGACTAACAATCAGAATTACCTGGAAACATTTTTATAAGTCTGCCCAAGACCTACTAAATCAGTATTTCATCAGAGCCCTTGGGAATACATTTTTTAAGAGCTAGAGAGAATTTGTCTTGAAGCTGGCCTGCAGAGTAACCACAGGGACTTTATTGAGACTGTTGGGTAATCTCTGAGTTGACCAAGTTAAGAGAGAACTGAAGACTTCCTGCATTTTCCCCCACCATGACTACTGTCAGAAGAGAAAATTTTTTTGAGGCATTAACACTTTAGTAAGAACTGTTAGTGTTTTCACCCTCAGAAGTAATTTGAGAAAGAGATAGAGCAAGAGATGTGCCATCTGCCAGTGGTATACACTCAGGCACTGAGTCATAATGGGCCAAGGGGACACCATGGGTTTAAGGACTCCAAGTCAATTAAGTCAAATAATCTCTGCCTCCAACCAAAGAAAATTCCACTCAACAACGTCAATATGCCTGCCGGAGGAATATTCAATCTTTACTTGAATATACACAGAAACAGGAAGCTCACTACCTTCAAAAGAAGCCCGTCCATTGTGTTACCAGAAAATTATTATCCATGCCCAGCACATACACTGAGCACCCTAACATCACAGTACATTTCTCAGTTTCCTGAAAAAATAAGAAAAAAAACATGTTCTCTCTCTGCTCTGAGTCTCTCCACCAGATTCTCTCCCTGCTTCACTCTTCCCTCATCTTTCTAGTCTCTTCTGGATTGTATCCATCCAGTTACAAGTCCCTTGAGGGGTAGAACCATGTTGATCACTGATATAGTGGTACTAACTAACTTTTTATTGAGAAAATGAATGAGCCAATAAAAGGATGGAAGGAAGGATGGATGAATGAATGAGGAGACAAAGAAGAGATGAATGGGTGGGTGGATGGATGGAAGAACAGATGGACAGATGGATGAATGGATGGGTGGGTAGGTAAATAAAAGTGAATTACCTTTCTACGTGCTAGACAGGTTTGAAATAGAATGGGCATGGGCCCCAGAAAGAAGTACCTGAAATTCAAGTGATGGCACTTTTACCTAAGATGTGACTCAGTCACCTACATATACACTCCCCAGGAATTGGCCAATTGAATGAGAGTCATCAGTCTACTCATTCTCCCATTAAACACACCTCTTCTGCTACTTCTTGTGCCCAACCCATTCTGGGTAATGCTGGGGATTCAGAGATGGTTCGGCTCCACACCCTGCCTGAAAGAGCTGAGGTTGGAGTGGGGAAAGGAAACAGAAGTACATCATGTAATTATCAAGAAGGTAGAAAGTATGCCAGGTGCAAAGGGAGGCACAGAGAAAGAGCTTCTGGAAACAGGGCAGGCTTCTGAGAGGAAGTAGCATTGGAGAGAAAGGTGGGAGTCTAGTTGCCCCTCTCATCTCTAGGCTCTGGATGCCAGGCTCATCTCTCAAGGGTCTTTTTGACACACAAATCTGTCTAATGACTCTTGCTCAAACACTTCCCATGGCTCCCTATCACCCCCAAAATAAAACACAAACTCATCCACTTTGCACATAGGTGCCCTGAGTCCAGCTCCTGCTTGACTCAATCCCTATACATCATCTTTGCTCCAGATACCCCAAGTCATTTAAATTCCCCTGGCATTTTCATACATCTGCACATTTGTACTGACAGGACCTTCCACCTAGTACTCCTCATCGGGCAAACTCCTGTGCATCTTTCAAGCCCAACTCCACCAACATACTCCAGAAGCTTTCTTCAAACCTCCTCCACAGCTAAACCTTTGTCTTCTCATCCTCCTATCCCCTCCACTCTAACCCTGACCACCCAATGCCAGGTGAGTCTGTGTCTGGATTGCTTCTCTCATTTCCTGCCCCCACCACCACCAGTTAAAAGGGGATGGGATCCTTGAAGAAAGTCATATAATAAAAATCCAGGTAGTGCCCAGGAGGAAGCTGAAAACTACTGTGGTGGAAAGCTTTGCCTCTGGGACAGCCAGATCGGGATTCAGATTTCAGTCCATCCCACTGATAAGTCGTAAAAAGTGCAGATTACCACTCTGCCCTTCTATTTCCTCATCTGCCAAAGGGGAAATAGAACAATCCTCCCTACCTCATGCCATTCCTTCAAAAACCCAATAAGTTAGTGTGTTCCCAACACATTGTAGGTGCTCATTAAATATCCGTGCATGTAAATGAATAATTAACCAACTATTGGCTATTGTCATCACTATGATTATAATGATTGATTATTGGTATGAGAACTTATATGATAGATAACTGGGTCCCCAGTTCACAGCAGACCCCTATTATAAAAAATGAAATAATGTGACAATTCCTTAAAAAGCTAAACTTAGAATTACAATGTGATGCTGCAATTCTACAATGAAGCAACCCAAAAGAGATGAAAATATACATGTACACATCAAAATTTGTACACACGTTCATAACATTATTGATTATCAAAACCCAAATGTTGATCAATGAATGAGTGAATAAAAAAATTGTGATATGTATGAATAAAATGGAATATTACTCAGCCTTTAAAAATGAATGAAGCACTAATACATGCTATAATGTGGCTCAACCTCAAAATATTAACAGTAAAAAAAGTGTTCCAAAAGACCACATTTAGTATAATTCCTAATGCATTATATATCCAGAATAGGCAAATCCATAAAGAGATAAATAGACTAGGATTTTCCAGGGGACAAGGAGGGGGGAAATGGAAAGAGATTATTTAATGGGTATAATTTTTTATGGGGTAATGAAAATTTTTGAGAATATAGAGAATCAACAGTTGTACAACATTGTGAATACGCTAAATACCACTGGATTGTATACATTAAAATGGTTAATTATATGTTACATGAATTTCATCTCAATAAAAAAATCAATGTATAAAACAAGCTATAATTATGTCTATATATTATGCCTTATCCTCCATAATGCATTTTCACTGATTTTCTTCCATTAATACTCTCCCCAAATGCCCATTAGAAGATGAAAAAACAGAGGTTCCAAGGGGAACCATGACTTCCTCAGAGCCCAACAGCTATGTGGGTTTAAATTCAGAGCAGCCACCCTCTTCAGGTGGCCCCCAAAGGAGATTCCAGCAGGGGATGGAATCTGCAACTTGGGGCCAGAGCTGTCCAATCCCAGGTGGGCAGATATCAAGGGGCATGGCACCCTGGGGCCAGGAGGCCTCTCCTGACTCACAGCCTCACCCTCCCCAACCTAGAGTCCCTCATCCAGATCCTCCAGTTGGGGAGGCAGTGTGTAGCCTTCCTGTCCTGAGGGAGGGGAGGGGAGGGGAAGCTGCCTGAGCACTCCCATGCTGGGGAATCCACTCCTTGATCTACTTGGAGTCTCACAACCACACAGGATCATACTTGAGAAACTGATGTGAGGAAGAGGAGGAGGGGGACCAGGAGGGAGAGGAGGGGAAGGAGGAGGGGGAGGAGGAGAGAATAAAAAGTACAAAAAAGGCAGATGAGAAGAAACCCTTATCAGCACCGACCCACTTTATAATACTGAGTCTTCACAAGTGTCCCCTTTTACAGATCAGAAACTGAGGGCCTAAGAGGAGAGATGAGTCCACCCAAATCCCAGAGCCAATTTTACAATATGGCCCCATCATTTAGAAATATCACCTCTCCCAGGATCTAGGTTACTCCCTTTGTTTCATGGAGACAGTCATCCCCTCATAAACACAATAACAGGGGATAGTGAGGCATAGGGAGGACATAGCTGGGGAAGGGAAGGATGGCGGCCCCTTTCACTTTCAGGGCTCCTGGTGGGGGAAGTGAGGGAGGTTGAGTAGCCTTGAAGGCAGTCTCCAGATGTGTTTTTGTAGAGGCCCAAGTTGGGGGCAGAGATCCTAAAATTCATGGAGTTCTGTTTCCCATCCCTCCTCTCTCAAATGTGCTCTGATGCCTCTGGAGGTACCCAGCTTCGTACAAGACCATGCTGGAGGTCCAGAGTCCCACTTACAAGGATGAAAGAGCCATAGCCAGACACAGCCAGTCCTAAAGAGTTAAGAATGAGAATGGAAAAGTCCAGAGGAGAGAACTATGGTCTGTCTGGGAGGCAGATAAGGCTTCCTGAAGGACAGGTTTATTGGAACTGGGTGTCGAAGCCTGAATGAGACCTTGTCAAGCACACTTGGGAGTCCCAAGCATACTTTGGGATAGGTGTGGACTACAGAAGAGAGAAGCAATCCTTCTACATCTCCCTCTCTGGTGGTCAGGGTCAGCCCAGGTAAAGAAAGTGGACTGGAATAACCATAGTGGGCGTGTCAGAACTCAAAGAATGGGAGTACCAAAGCTTAGAATTGAGCAACAGTCACTTAAAATCCCGGGCAAACAACTGCCTATCCTAACCAGTTTGGTTCTGACCTCCAAGTGGGTGGACATCCTCTCATATTTCCTGGATCTTTGGTGTGACATCGTCATACCTTGCCCATGCTGTTCCCATTGTCCGCATTGCCATTTCTGCTTCGATGAATTCCTGTTCATCCTTCAAAGACCTACTCAAATGACCCTCCCTCCAGATAATCTGCCTAGAAGCCCAGGTAGGCTCTGGATTTACCTATCACTCAGAGTTCCGGCCCACTTACCTGAGGCACCCAGCAGGGGCTTGATGAAGTCAGGGTGCACAAGAACCAACAGTGGCAGGACAGGTCCCATCCACACTAGGATCACATGGTGCATATTGTCCAGCACCTTCTTCTCATCTTGGAGACCTGACTCATTTGGGAGATACTGCAAAATGTGGCAAGGAACAGTGAGGCAGTGCCCAGCCCCAGCTGACTTTAGCCCTTCCCTCCCACCCTCTACCCTGACCTCAGAATAAGGCAAGATGAGTATATGATTATGGGTACTTAGAGATAACTCTCTGAGCCTCTATTTCCTCATCTGAAAAGTAGAGCTGAACAGTCAACTCTCTCTCTAAGGGCAGTTGAGAGGGTTCATAAAATAACAAAATGAGAGAGTCCCAGCATGGGGTCTGACACACAACTGGTATCCAAGGAATAAGACAATGATAGTAAACACAAGACACCCATTTGTCATTAAATGATATTTCAGTCAAGGAGGGACAGCATAGAGGACAGTGGTCCCAACTAAGCATGACATCTATCCTAAATGTGTGGTTGGCTCCACCATCTTGGTTTGTGTGATGTTCACATGACAAAATGCCTAACACACTTCTCAGAATGTGTCCCTGTTGTTAAGCAACATATGACTGTAATGATAATGATTGGTATTTATCAAGTATTTTCCATGTTAATAATAAAATATTCCTAGCTTCTTACCTTAACACATATGTGTGCTTGCACTGTTTTGGGTCCTGCTACATTTTGTTAGAGTGTGATCTCCACTAAAATGGGGGATTTCATGTTCCCTGCCCTACCTAATAAAGGGTGGAACTGAAGAAGTGTTAAAGGAGATACATGGAGCAGAGAGACATGAAAAGAAGGGCATGCCAGCTTCCTGGCTTTGGACTGGCACTAGTAACTTGGGATACATGGAAGGGAGACACTGAAAGAGAAACTTGTAGAGAAGCTGACAATGGCATTGTTAGCTTGATTTGTTCTTTGAGTTTGCTACTTCCATCCCAGACTTGCCTGGCACCTTTCCTTTGGTTCTCCAGAAGTACCTTAGCCTTGTAGCAAGACTTTGGGTCTCAGTGGCCTTGCTTTGGGCCAACCCTGTTTGGCTGGGTGTTTATCCACAAGGGGACAGGTAACTTTGGGTGTTTTACTGGAAAACTATTATCCTTTCTTCTCTTCTTTCTCTATGAACAATATTATATTAAAGTTCTTTCACATTAAGAGTATGCTTTGACTAATTAATACAAAGTAAAAATCAAAATCAACAAGCAACTATAAACCAGAGACACACTACAGCGGGGGAGGAAAGGGAAGATGAAGGACTAGGGTCAAAATAAGGGGAGGGGGGTGCAATTGTATGGGGAATATAACCAAAATGATAATGCATACATTGTGCAAAAATGAAAAATGATGTAAGAATTATATAAAATAAAATATTAATTTAAAAAGAGTATGCTTTGTCTTCATGTAGTGGATGACAGAACCTCTTCAGAGCATGCAGGTTTGGGAGTCTTGGGATACCCCTCAGATCTCAACTCCAACAATTTTTCATGTACTCATATGTTCAACCTACATGAGAACCTTTGAGATGCTGTTGCTATTATTTTCTTCATCTTTCTTGCAAAGAAAGGTTCAATAACTTGCCTGAAGTTATAAGTGAGGAAGTGATTCTCCTGGTTTCAGCTCCCCTAGATAGAGGACCAGAAACAAGAGTTCTAGGGCAAGTAGTTGATATGAGGGTTGATCAAAAAAAAAAAACATGGGAAGGAAAGTATGGAAGTGAGATGGGAAGGGAAGGCAGCCTGTAGAGTGCAAAAGTTGCACCATGGGCAGCCAGGGCTCTGTACCCCAGGGTGGTATCTCAGTCAACCTGCTAGAGGGTGAGGAAGCCAGGGTATTGATCCTCCGATCCCATAGCTCTGGAGACTTGGCTAAAGGCCACTCTTGGGGCAGTAACTCTCAAGTTCACAATATACAAGGATGGGTGGGTTCCAGTTTCCAGAGAAAACCCTAGAACACAGAGCTATCAGCTAGTAGTCAGTCCATGGAAACTAGACAGGACCAGGCACTGGCATCATCTACTACAGTGGCAGAACTAGTATCTGAACACAAGCCACCCAGTTTCAAAACATCTGCTCTCTTAGTGATGAACTTCATATAGCATGTTGATTTTCAATGATGCACACCTGACACGTATATAATGTTATAATGTAATGTTACTTCAATAAATAAATAAATAACACCTGCTCTTAGCCAACATGAGACAGAAGCACTTCAGGTTCAATGTCAGAGGAACTAAGCTCAAATTGACCTTCAACTGTGTAACCTAGGGCACATCACTTAACCTCTCTGAACCTCAAATTATCCATATTATAGGGCAGATCCATCCCTACTTCACAGGCTGTAAGCATCAGGGGAGAGCTCAGACACGAAGTGGCCTAACCAGCACCTGACCAATGGTAAGGTAGGACCACTGGTCAAATGAAGGAATAAATGAATAAACAAAAATGACTCCTCTCTGGTTCCTGAGTCTTTTTCAATCAGGCTTAGCCCTGAGGCTGCCCACGCCCAAGGGAGATCATGGCCCTTCCAGGTCTCATGGGCCCATGAGGGGTCTGGCTAGGTTTCAGAGCTGGCCCTAACCACTGCCCAGGGCACCAGGAGCTGGTCACTACCTTTGAGACCACCACCCAAGCCACAGAGTTTCCTGAATGAGGACACTATAGATAGGACATGAACAACGAGCAGAAGTTTACCTAATTTGGTACACTTAGATAAGAATAGTTTTGGCAGGGGCCTCCCCGGTGGCGCAGCGGTTGAGCGCTGGGTTGCGAAGCTGGCAGCAGCCTCTGCAGCGCTGGTTCAATCCCCGGCCACCGGGCAAGGGTCCCACATGGCGCGCAGACCTCTCCTGCCGCCCACTGCTCCCCTTAGCAGTGTACTTCGTCAGTCTGCCTGCTCTGCTCTCCCCTCTGGCTCTGGTAAATTCCCTCACCTTCCCGCGCTTCTGACTGTACCCAGTGCTTGTATAAATAAAATAAATAAATCTTAAAAAAAAAAAAAGAATAGTTTTGGCAAAGGTCATTGAGGTGGGAAGTCAGAGCCTTGTTAAAGGAGCAGAAATCATCCTTTGTGACTAGAGGTGGATGGTGGAAGACATGAGGAGGGTGGGGTCAGAGTCTAAAGAGCCCTGAACCCCAGCAAAGGAGCTGGGACTTTTTCCAAAAAACAGTGGAGAGTCATGGAGTGTGCATGAGCTGGAGGGGAAGTTGGGGGGGATGTGGCTGAATTCAAGAATCCTTCTGGGACCAGGACAGTGGATATACTGGTGGGATGAGACTGAAAGCAGAACCCCAGGGAAGAGGCTGGACTGTGATCCAGCAGGAGAGGACGAGGCCTGAGCAGGAGTGGGGGACAGGAAAGAGGGGAGGCTCAGGCACAAACATCCCAAACTTGGTTAGAGCTGGCCCTCGGAGGGTAGTTACAAAATTAACAATCATGTTCTTTGGGTGACTGAGTGGGAAGGTATCTTTGGGTTCATTCTTCTGAGACCCTCACTTCAAGCAGTATCCAACATATTTCTAGAATCACTTGATACTTCTGATCTCCGCATACCCAGTTGTTGAGAACATATATCCACCACTGTGTAGTGGGTGCCAGAAACATCATGGCAAGAGTTCAGAAATCATCAAAACAACCCCATGATGTTCCTGAGTTTCAAATGGGGAAACTGAGGCATGAGGAAGCTCTCAAGGTCACACAGGCAGTAGATGGTAGAAATGGTATCAATCAAGTCCATACTGATAATCTCAACCCCTGGAAGGGAGACAAGGTGAGTGCAGCAGGCCAGTAGGATTCTAGGCCCCGGAGAGTCTCAGCACCCTCAGGGATCTGGCTTTCTCTCTTTTTGACTTCTGAAGATTCAACCTTTCTTATCCAGAAACTAGAGACAGCAGAGGAGAACTTGCTAAGAGCAAGGATGCTGGAGTCAGATGACCTGGATTTGAACCCCAATAGTGCCACTTAGGAGCTGTGTAACCTAAGCTAGCTATTTAACCTTCATATGCTGCAGTATTCTCGGGTACAAAATGGGGCCTACCTCCTAGGGTTGTCAAGAGAACTGAATTAGTGAATATGTATATAGTGCCTGAAATATTACTTGGCTCACATACATGAAATGAAATGCAGAAAGGGTTGGGGCCCTCACCTGGGAGTACAGCATTAGAGAGAATGAAAGAGTGTGTGAACCACATTGGGGGTAAAGATGGAGCAACAAAATCTTCAGGAAAGTGTCCCTCTCTCCCTCCACTGGGATCCCAAACCCAATGAACTTCACAGGCATTGGTACCTGTTTCCTGGATATATCTTATCATATAGGGTATGTCACATATTATATGAAAGGTACAGCAGTAGCCTGAAATTACAGAGAAAACTTTAGAGTCAGCTCTGTTACATACTAGCTGTGTGACCTTGGGGAAACTGCTTGCCCTTTCTGATCTTCATGGGTCTGTTCATGGTTCCAACCAGATTCTTGGAGATGGGGAGGGGAATAAGGAAAACCAGCAGATCTGCCATCCTTACCGAATACCTGGGACATACCCAGGCCTGACCTGCCCAGGCCCCTTGCCCAACCATACACACCATGCCCAGGTGGCCCAGCAGCCAGTTGCGGCGAGGTGGCTGGGGGAAGCAGCGCAGCCGGTGGCAGGTGATGTAGAAGCGCCGGCAGAGCCTCAGGAACTGTAGCAGCAGGCGAAAAAGGAAGAAAAGCAGGGACAGGAGAAGTGCAGACACAGCACAGAGGCGGAATGCAGTCTTCTCCAGCCCGAGGATGTGTAGCAGGTGTTCTGTGATGGGCAGCATCCTAGGGGGACACATGGGGCAGGGTCAGTGCAGGATGGAACTACCCTCCAGCCATGTCCCTCAGTCATGCCATACATACAATGATCTGTAGAGTAATGTGCCTGGCACGTAGCAGGCACTCATGAGTTCCAGATGCCACAGATACCTCTTTATCTCCCAATTGTGACCTCTGGCCAGCTGACCAGATGGACATTCACGGCCTTAACTTTTCAGAGCATCCCTCCCAATTTTCCATCTAAATATGCTGGACAGAATGTTGGAAAATTAAGACACTCTCCCTCCCCAAAAGCAGGATCAACCTGCTTTTGAGCATTGCTGAATGAGACATCCCAGGTCCCATGCCTCAAGTGCAATGACCCTAAGTTGTGGTTCCACACACACTCCCAATACTCAAAATAGAAAATTTCTCTTTTAGTTGCCTCTCTTTCCATCTTACTTTCCTCCCTCCTTTCTTAGATTGAAGTGAGACCCACACAGCATAAAGTGAGCCATTTTAAAATGAATAATTCAATGACATTTAAGAACGTACACAGTGTTTTACAACCATCATCTCTAATTCCAAATTTTATCACCCTCAAAAAGAAACCTGTCCCCATGAGCACTCATGACTCTTCCCCCCCCTCCCCCCGACCCCCATGGCCTCTGATCTGCCTTCTGTCTGGATCTGCCTGTTCTGGACATTCCATATCCATGGATCACACAGTGTGTTCTTTTGTGCCTGGTCTCTTACTCAGCATCATTTTCAGGCTCATTCACGTCCACAGCCTCTGCAGTGCAAGTTCTATCCCCCGGCCAGCAAGAATCCCACGTGGCACAGCAGATCTCTCTTGTCTCGCCGGCTGCTCCCCTCAGCAGTGTATTTCATCATTCTGTCTATTCTGTTCCCCGCTCTGTCTCTGGTGAATCCCCTCAACCTCCCATGCATCTGGCCTGTACCCTGTTCTTGTATAAATAAATAAATCTTAAAAAAAAAAATACAGGGCCTCCCCAGTGGCGCAGCGGGTTGAGCGCTGCCCTGTGAAGCTGTCCGCAGCCTCTGCAGCACGGGTTTGATCCCCGGCCAGCCAGGGTGAAACCCACATGGCACAGCAGACCTCTCCTGCCTTGCCTGCTGCTGTCCTCAGCAGTGTCTTCGGTTTGTCCGCCCATTCTGTTCCCCGCTCTCTCTGGTGAATTTTCTCACCCTCCTGCACCTCTGACCTGTACCCCAGTACTTGTATAAATAAATAAATCTTTAAAAAAAAAAAACAGACTATCTGGTGTAGGTACTCCATAGGAAGTAGCCGTGGGGGATCTATTTCTTTACCAGTTTAACAGTGGGTAACAATTCTCCCCAGCAATTCTAGAGAAGCCAGCTTGTAATTACCACTAATAACTGTGACCCTCCAGAGGCCTGACCTTTGCTAAGGGCTCTAAGTGCATTTCTTCAGCATCCAGCTGGCAAATATTCTTTGCACCCTGACTATACAAGTGACTCTATTCTAGACACTGGGGAGATAATGTCAAGCAGGTCCAGGCCTTCATGGAAGGTGACACCAGTACAAATGATGGAACCCCATATAATGGCTACGTCATACAGGTGGTAAAAATCAGATTGGGGAAGAAGGTGAATATCCCCCCTTCCCTGAAAAAAATAATGAGGTCCAAATCTCTGGAATTTGGTCCTGTGACTTATATGACAAAGTCTTCGCAGGTGAGATTAACTTAAGGAACCTTGAGATGGAAAAAATTATCCTGGATTATTGAGATAGGTACTAACTAGAATCACAAGTATCTTTATATGAGAAATGGAGATGGAGATTTGATGCACAAAAGAAAGAAAAACAATATAAACTGTAGGCAGAGAATAGGTGATTTCAAACAAAGAAACACCTAGAGCCCCTAGAAGCTGGAAGAAGCGGGAAAGATTCTCTCCTAGAACCTTGGGAGAAAGCACTATCCTACTGACACTAGGATTTCAGACAGTAAATCTGTTTTGTTTTAAATGCACTGGTGCATTTAATACAGCAGCATAGGACATTAATACACAGAGTAAGAGAGAATTCTTTTAGAGAGAGTGGTCTAAGAGGGTCTCTCAGGGGAAGGGTATCTGGGCAGAGATATGAGTGAAGAACCTACATGAAAGGGGCTTACTTCAGAAATAAAAGCACATATATGTGCATATATCACAACTAATCTTTGACAAAGGAGCAAAGAATACACAATGGAACAATGACAGTTTGTTCAATAAATGGTGCTGGAAAAACTAGACCACCACATGCAAAAGAATGAAACTAGACCACTACCTCACACCATGCACAAAAATCAACTCAAAATGGATAGAAGAACTAAACATAGACCTGAAACCATAAAATATATAGAAGAAAGCACAGATAAAACACTACAAAACATACATCTCATCCCCAAAGCAAAGAAAGTGAAGAAAAAGATAAATGGCTGGGATTACATCAAACTAAAAAGTTTCTGTACAGCAAAAGAGACATTAACCAAAACAAAGACACACCCTACTGATTGAGAGAAAATTTTTGCACTCCACACAACTGATAAGGGATTGATCACAAAGATATACAAGGAACTCACACAACTCAACAAAAACAAAGTAAACAATCCTGTCAAAAAATGGGCAGAAGTGGGCCTCCCCTGGTGGCACAGCGGTTGAGCACTGGGTTGCGAGACTGCCCACAGCCTCTGCAGTGCCAGTTCGATCCCCGGCCACTGGAGAGTATCCCACAAAAAAAAAAAAAAAAAATGGGCAGAAGAACTTAAAAGGCACTTCTCCAAAGGGGAAATGAAAATGAAAATAAAAATCAACAGATGTATGAAAAAATATTCAACATCCCTCATAATCAAGAAAATGAAAATCAAAACCACAATGAGATACTACCTTACACCAGTAAGAATGGCACATATTTTTAAAAAATTGCAACAACAAATGCTGACAAGGATGTGGTGAAAAAGGAACTCTCCTACACTGCAAACTGGTCCAACCACTTTGGACAGCTGCATGGACATTCCTCAGACTACTAAAAATGGAACTACCATATGACCCAGCAATTCCACTCCCAGGGATCTACCCAACGGACACAAAATAATTAATTCAAAAGGATGCCTGCACCCCTATATTTATTGTAGCACTATTTATAATAGGTAAGACTTGGAAACAATCCAAAAGCCCAAAAATAGATTGCTGGATCAAGAAGACGTGGTACATATACAAAATGAAATATTATTCAGCAATCAAAAAAGATAAACTGATGTCATTCACAGCAACATGGATGGAGCTAGAAGGGATTATGCTCAGTGAAATAAGTTAGAAGAAAAAAGAAAAATATTGGATGATTTCACTGATAGCAGGAATATAGGGGAACCAAATAAGGGATCGGGGGGGGGGAAATAATAACAATTAAAAAACACAACACAACAAAACAAAAATAAACAGGCAATCCGAGACATTCTGCAAGAGAGGGGGAGGGAGAGGGATCAAAACGAGAGCAGGAAGAGCACAAGGGACTGTGGTGATGGTACACAGGTGAAATGGTGGTGGAAATTCAATGGGGACTACACCTGAGAAAAGAAAGAAAACATTGTAAAAAAGAAAGAACAATAATGTAAAATATATATTAATTAATTAATTTTAAAAAGAAGGGGGCTTTCTTATTAAACACATACAACACAAGGAGCTGGATTCTCCACTAACTGGCTGTGTAATCTGGACCTCGATTTCCCCATAAAGGTGGGGTGTCTGTAAAAGATAATCTCTGGGTCCACCCCAGTGACCTTTTCTGTTCGTGGCCCTAAAAGGGACATCTTTTTCAGGATTACCAAGGATGGGAAGGAAGTCATTATAGCCAGCCAAGAAGGGGCTATGTGGTCACCTCTTTCCCCCAGGCAGCCTGACTGTAGCCTAACTCTGCCATAGTTTTCCCAGTGACAAAACAGTAGCAAGAGGCCCAGCTGATACTCAGAGGAGGAGCTTGATAATGGGAGCCTAGGAGAGGCTGTCCACACTCTACAGCAGGGTTCCTCCTGATTTCCAAACAACAGCATTTCCATTCAATGCCCTTGAAAGAAGCTACTACAAAAAGCTCTGAGGTGGGGCAGCCACAGTGGGAAAGAGTTTGATGAGTCCTCAAAAAGTCAAAGATAGAATTACCACATGATTCAGCAGTTACACTGCTAGGTATATATCTAAAAGAATGGAAAACGGTGGTTCAAAGAGATATTTGTGTACAAATATTCATAGCAGAGCTTCACAAAATCCAGAAGGTGGAAACAACCCAAGTCTCCATCAACTGACAAATGGATAAATATAATGTGACATATCTGCACCATGGAATATTATTCATCATGAAACGGAATGAAGCGCTCATATATGGTGTAATGTGGATGAACCTTTAAAACATGACTCTGAGTGAGAGAAGCCAGGCACAAAAGACCACTTATAGGAAACATCCAGAACAGACAAAGGCACAGAGAGAAAGCAAATGAGTGGTTGTCAGGATCAGGGGGACAGGAGTCGGGACGGGAATAGGGATGGGAGTCTTTTTAAATGGGTGATGAAAGTGTTCTGGAACTAGATAGAGGTGATGGTTGCACAATGTGAATACCCTAAATGCAATTGTTCACCTTTAAATTGTTATTTTATAGTAGATGAATTTTGTCTCCATTTTTCAAAATGCCATAAAGAACATATTATGATGACTGTCACTGGATGGGACCCCAAAGAACCAGGGCCAGAGGAGGAAGTAAGATTTAATTTTCACTGTCCCCCTTTGGGGACCTTTTTATTTTCTAAACTGTGAACACATTTTCCCATTCAAAAACATTTTAATTAACTATAAAAATTAATTAGATGACTTTCCACATGAGGTGTGAACTGGAATATAAACTGAATGTATGTTAATAATAAAGTATCAATACTGTTTCATCAATTGTAACAAAAGGATCACACTAATGCAGACTGTTGATGGTAGAAGACTTTGTGGGGAGTTAGGGGGTATACAGAATTTCACATAGTCTGCACAATTTTTCTGTAAACTTAAAACTGACCTAAAAATAAAGTCTAAAATGATTGAAATTAATGAAAAAAAAATAAATTAAGGCGTTTCAGTTGGTGAGGGGGCTGCATTTTCTGGGTCACAGGTTCCCTTTCTCAATCTGGGATCTGGTGGTATACATATGTTCAATTTGCAAAAACTTTTAAACTGTTCAGTTCTGGAAGGTACACTTTCCCATATGTATATATTTGACTTAAAATTTTAAAAATAAAATGAAATGGGTAAATAATAGCAGCACCTACCACCTAAGGGTGTTTAGGAAACTTCATTGAGGTGAGACTTGGCACAAAAAAGCAAAATCTTAGCCATTACAGCAGTTCCCCCCACCCCCACCATATCCTCAGGTGAGATGTCCCAAGATCCCCAGAGGATAATTTAAGCCATAGATAGTCCCAAACCCTATAGACACTACTTTTTAACTTTACACACATACCTATGATAAAGTTAAATTCATAAATTAGGCAGAATAAGGAATTAACAATAACATAAAATAAAACAGAACTATAGTAATATACTATAATAACAATTATAGTAATATTCTGTAATAACAATTTTGTGAATGTTCTCTCTCTCTTTTTTACTTTCTCTCCCCACCCCCAACATCTTATTCTACAGAATATTTTTAGACCACATTTGATGGAAGTTTTCTGAAACTTCAGAAAGGGAAACTGAAGATAGAGGGGATTACCATATTCCTGTCCCTATTACTACTATTTTATCGCAGCAAGAAAAACTCAAAGCTGACACTCAGAGGATGATGTGGGAGGCTGACACGCCCACTCCTGTCTGCACTGGCCCCAGTCTCATCCAAATGCCAGGTATGGCACCCAGCACCCCCGCCCTGGCAGATGGCCCCACCCATCCAACTGGGGACTGCATTATCTGGAAATGGAGGTGCCAGTGACTGGTTCCATGGCCCAGCCCACGCCCAGGGAGCTCTGGTTTGTCAGGTTAGCCCAGCCACCAGCCAGAGACCTGTCATACAAGGTATGTGGGCTCCTAAGAAGAAATACAGGATTTGGACCCTGGCTCCCCAGAAATTACATATCTGCTGGGGCCTGCTGGAAGATTGACATCCAGTCACCCAACACTAGCCCTATTGCCCCACACCCCAGCCCTGCTCCCTCTTTCTTCCTGGCCCCTCTCCAGGCTCATGGCATCCCCTGGTCCCTTAAAAGCCAAAGAACTATCCCACACCAGACTCACGTTCTTCCAAAGTGCCAGGCCCCAGAGGGTTTGAGGCGAGAAGGGGCTTACCCCAAATTCCTGGGGTTTGGGAAAAGAGCTTCAGGAACATTTCTGGCTCATCAGGGCAAGAAATGGTGATTATCACTGCAGCTTGGTGCATATTATAAGCTTTTACCTGCAGCTTCCTTGGGCCAAAGGAGATCCTGGCAGGAAATAAAGTTTTAAAACCACCAGGTTTAAAACCACCAGTGCTGCAATCCTCTCTGCCAACCATCTCAACCAAGTGTGCCCATGGTTGGACATGATCCTCAGAAAGCATTCCAGAAAGCTCTGCCTCTTAGCTTTGTAACCACAGGTGAATGTCTGTACCTCTCTGAGCTTCAATGTCCTCATTGATTAGACGGGAGCCATATACTAACTTCACAGGACTATGATGAACACAAAGCATTTCTAACGTGCTTAGCTCAGGGTTTGGCACATAGTAAGCCTTTGATCAAAGGGACTTCAAATTGTTGTTGGTGTGGCCAGGGTATTCTTTATTGTTACCAGGCCATCTGGGATTTGGAGAATTCAACCCAAGATTTGCCAGGGAGAAGAAATGGGGTACCATTCTCTGAATGTCTCCTGAGTCATCTATCCCCTCTGCAGATACCAACTGAGGTCACCACCGGATACCAGCACAGAGTTAATGTTACAACTCGGAAACCCAAGCTGGGCTCTACAGAGCAGCCTGGGCCATAAGAAAGTGCCAGGATGTTGGGGTCAGACAGGGTTGGTTTGTTCAAGTTCCAACTTCCCCACTGTCTCCCTCCTACTTCCAGCCTAAGACACCCCAGCTGGTGGACTGCAAACACCTTACATGGTCCAGGTTGTCTATTTTATCCCCTGGTGAGGGCCAGGAAGCATCATCTCCCCAGCATCCAACAAATATCAGCTGAGACCAACTGTGTGAGACCTTCCATAACTACCCCTCACAGCCAACTCTGGGGCCCAGGAGAGCATCCTTTTTTCACAGAGAGAAGCACTTGAAACTCCTGTGCCGGTCCTGGGAGGATGGAGAGTCTGTGAAGAGAATGGACTTTACCACAGCCACAGAAGAAGTGTAAAGTATCGCTTGAACATGGCTTTAAGATAATGTGGAGTGGAGAAATCCCGCATCACCCTAAGGTGCTGTGAGAGGGATTCATCTCCTGATGACAAGGGGAAGCTCTTCTTGAGGCCACTTCTCACCAAGGACAACCAGAAAGAAGGATACACCTAGGACCCGAGATGCAAACATTAAAAACCGTGCACAATGAAGCGACCGTCAGGGACATATCTTCCACTTCCTCAGCCCCAAGTGTCCAGGGCACACAGCCCTGTCCGGGGTCCTGGGAATCCCCGGCCCCCGGCACAGACTTCCTGCACCTGCCCCGCCGGAACTGGAGCCAAAGCTCCTAGGGTTACAGAGCACGCCCGCGACAGCGCTCCTGTTACCGCCCCTCGGCTCGCACTCACCCTGCGGGTCTCGACTTCAGGTCCTAGATCCGGATCCACCCGCGCCGCAACCTCAGCTCTGAATGGGCTGATCCCGCTGCCCGGCCCTTTAACCCCGCCCGGCCGCTCCGCGTGCCGCCCAGGGCCCGCCCCTCCCCCCGCCCGCCCCCCGCGGTGTCTCCAGCCGCTGGGAGGGACCGAGGCGCGGCCCCAGAGATAGTGATAACAAGAGACATGGAAGCATGGAGACGGAAAGGGAAAGACAGAGTCTGAGTTGGGGAGAGCGACAGGTGGAGACATAGAGGAAGAAAGGACAGAGAGGGAGACAGCGAAAGACATGGAGAGACAAAAAGACATGAACCCCCAGAAGATCCCAACCATTAGACTCCCTGCCCCGTAGTTCCTACCTGGCTCCCATTAGCACGGAGATCCCCCTCTAAACCATTCCTAAATATTCTCCTTCCACACCCATACTCCCCATGTCCCACACCTCAGGGCCTGTTCTCAAGCTGGGACAAGGGTCCCTAAGCACCTGGTGCCCCATGCACCTCCCCTGCGTGCCACCAGGAGCCTCCTCTAGGACCCCCAGTAATCCTCAGATTCCACCAGTCTTTGGAACTCAGCCCTTCTGCTTCCTCTGGGCCCTGTGGCCAAACCACTTCCTTGGGACTCTGTAGCCAACAGCAACCTCTCCCTCCTCCAGGAAGACCTCCAGCTTCAACAAGCAACACAGACCATGCACCCACTGCCCACCACCTGGCCTTTCTCCCAGGATGTTGTCTTTGGCCAGCTCATCTGCTCCAGATGTGTTCAGACAGGGTCAGCCCCACCCTCTAGGATGTCAGACAGATACCATTCCTGGGTTGGTAGGTAGGTGGGTGGCGGACCTAGGCAGCAGCCTGTCTGCCTATGAAGTGGGCAGACAAATTGGAGGACTCACAGTTGGCCTTAGCTCCCCACCACCTCCCCAGAACAGAGCAAATGGTCTTGCACATACCAGACACCCAGGAAATACCTGTCAAAGAGAAAAAAAGGCATCAGAGAGTAGAAAAAGCAAAATCGCCAAAATTATTGCAGGCTTGGGGAAACTGAGGCACAGGCTGCAGGCCCAAGAAGAGATTTGACTATCTGGGTTCAGGTTTCAGGCAGGGGCTAAGTCGGCCACTGAGAAAGCAGAAGCTATTAGAAGACAATGTGCTACTTCCCATGAGTTCCAAAGTTAAAACCACAGTAAACCATAAAGAGGCCGACAAAAGGGCCAGGGCATTCAGCTCCCCCCACCCTTGACCCAGGATGATCATTCCAGAGTCTTCTGATTTACAAAAAAAAAAAAAAAAAAAAATTAGGGGTGGAGTTAGACTTAATGCTTGGCCAGTGAAGCCAGTACTGGTTTTGGAGGGCCCCAAACAGATGGGAGGTCTGATCTTGAGCTGGTTAGCCAAGCGGAGGAGCAGAGAGATAGTGAAGACCCCAGAGCCAGGAAGCAAGGCCTAAGGCAAAGCACAGTGGTCAGAGCATGGACTCTAGGGCCTCCCTGGTGGTGCAAGGGGTTAAGATGCAACCTATGAAACTATCCGCATGCACTGCAGCACAAGTTCGATCCCCGGCCAGGGAGATACCCACATGGTGCAGCAGACCTCTCCTGACTCGCCCGCTGCTCCCCTCAGCAGTGTATTTCAGTCAATCTACCTGTTCTGTTTCCCCACTCTGTCTCTGGTAAATCTTCTCACCCCTGCACCTCTGGCCTGTACCCCAGCTCTTGTATGCATAAATAAATAAATAAATCTTTTAAAAAAACCAAAGCATGGACTCTAAAGTCAGACAGTACAAATGTTCCACACATTACACACCATGCACTAATCTCAGAATGTAATGTTTTAGTGCGGTGGGTCTCATCCAAGCAATCCACCTCCTGGAGGACACTTGGCAATGGCTGGAGACATGTCTGGTCATTACACCTGGGAGTGGGGTGCTTTTGGCATCTAGTGGGTAGAAACCAAGGAGGTGCTAAACCTCCTACAGTGCACAGGGTAAGCACTGTACAAGACTGTACCTCACCACAGAAAATGATCTGGCCCCACATATCAACAAAGCCAAGGCTGTGAACCTCTGCTTGAAGGTGTAGGGAGCACGTCTATATTTTAGTACGCAGGAAATGCTGGGTAAGTGCATGGAGTTTCCAGTCTTCTCCTTTTCCAGAAAATCCAGTTCACATGGACTCTCCAGTTAGACAAGTACTGTTGTAACCAGGTTGTCTCCCCCACTCCTCAAGACTGAGGTCTCCTCAAAGACAGGACCCTGGGATTAGTGAGTGCAGGGCTAGGCACTGGGGTTGGAATAAATCCATGCAACAGCAGAATAGTTGCTCCAACTATTGTCCTTGATGCTTGAAATATGGCAGAGAATAAAATCAGATGAAGTTCCTGTCCTTATGAAAGTGACATTCAAATAGGGAAACAAAAGCAGACATTTCCACCAATAGGGGGCTGTAATGTACAGAGGTTTGTAATGGGATGAAGGTGAGGTTACTGTTTGTGATTGAGCGGCAGGGCCCTAGCTGAAACTTGAATAATAAGAATAAATGTTGACTCACATTGTTTACTTTAAATACATACAGTCTTTATTTGTCAATTATATCTCAATATAGCCTATGGGGGAGAGAATAAATGTTGGATGGATGGATGGGTGAGTGGGTGGATGAATGGATGGATGGATGAATTTTCACAAGTCTGTGGCGCAAGGGGTTAAGTGTCAGCACTATGAAGCTGTTCACAGCCACTGCAGCACGAGTTCGAGCCCTGGTCAGGAAGATGACCCACATGGTGCAGAAGCCCTCTCCTGTCTCTCCTGCTGCTCCCCTCAGCAGTGTATTTCAGTCAGTCTGCCTGTTCTAGTCCCCACTCTGTCTCTGGTGAATCCTTTTACCCCCTACAACTCTGGCCTGTATGCAGTTCTTGTATGCATAAATAAATAAATCTTTAAAAAAAAATACCCTGATTGGTTACAAGTATCCTTAGCTATTAAGTCCAGTAATTTTAGATGACTCATGGAGAAACATTTTCTATTCATTTCTTATGTACTTATGTTAAATAAGAGACCTGTCTTGATACACAGAAGAGAAAATATATATTTGGACTAGACATTCAACCCACCATCCAATGCACATAATAATAGAAATAGATATGTTGTTTTAAAATAAATAAGGAAGAGCACTGAAATAAAACTATTAAGTAATAGAAAGGTAATAAGTATAGGATTAAGATAGTGACAGATGATGGGAGGGCTGAAATTTCAGAACCAGAAACTTTACTATCCAATTCAGATGAAGATGGAGGAAGAGGCTAAAGATCTCTCAACTTGAGTTTGGCAAATATTAGTGGACCCATCTTTCCAAAATTAAAAAAAAAAAAGAAGCAAGAAGCAGATGGGCTCAAAACTTGAAGAAGGATATTTTAAAACAATTGTAAGAGGTTCCACTTACCTCAGCAGGTAATAAACTTAGCCAAGATTTTTTTTATCCCTCTTTATTTCAATAATGCTTTCTTATTTGTTACAAGCCTGCCCCCCACCCTGCCCCAGGAGATGGAAGGGGGTGGCATTTCAAGGTGAAGAAGGCAATACAAATAATTAGAGTTTCGCTGCTTTGGCAGAAGAAAGGCCAGGGAAGGTTGTGTGAAGGATGTGACATTTGAGCTGGGACTTCAGGGAGAGATTGGATTTCAACAGGTGCAGAAGAGGGGGTTGGGCTCCTGCACATAGAAACCAGAGGGTATCGCCATGCAGGTAGCTTTCCCTGGACTTGGGGTGTGAGAGGTTAGGAGATGGGAGGGGTGCAGGGATGGACCTGTAGGGTCTTTTTTTTTTTTTTTCCTGTAGGGTCTTAAAGCCAGTTTGCATGCCTGAGGGTTGATGTAGTGAACAATGAGGAGCTACCAAGAGCTCTTAAGCAGGGGAGGAACCACCTGTTGTTGGTTGGTTTTGAAGCACATGGGAGCTTATTTTTTTTAGGGATATGAATTTTTAGAGATATTGAAGGTATCTTCATTGATAACTGGCTGCCTGTGAGGTTACAGGAAACAGAGGAGGAGCGAGAGGGAGGGGAGAAGAAAGCAGAGGACAGGAACAGGTGTCAGCCCCACTTCTCTGCTTTCAGAGAGATGAAGACCAGTAAAGAGCAAGTTGAAAAGCCTTAGGATGAGAAATCCATGGCAGTGGGCTTCCTGGTCATGTCACCTTGGGTAGGTTGTGGCTCCACTGTAGCCTCCATCCCTTTACAGATAAAATGGCAGAGATGGGCATGAGGCAAGGTGGTGTTCGCAGGGCATGAGGCCCATACTTGGCACAGAGTACCGGCTGGACAAATATCAGCTCTTCCATTCTGCAGCTCAATTCAAGCTATCTCAGCAATCCTTAACTAGGTTGAATTGTGCCCCCCCAAGGGGCCATATGGAAATGTCCAGAGATACTTTCCATTGTTACACTGTAGAAGAGGTTGCCACTGGCATCTAGTGCCAGTAATTTCTCTATTTAATTTCTCTAGTGCCAGTAATTTCTCAAAATTACTTCTCATAGGCAAGCACGCAGCAGCACTCAGGACTACCACCAGCACCCCCAGAGGATGATCTAGCGCCAAATGCTAGCACTGTAGAGAAAGGTTGAGTTACCTTGGGTCTAAAAGACCCTATGGGCCATTCAGAGAGACACCGAAGAGGCCACCAGGTCCGTAAGAAAATGAGCATCTCCAAGTCACCTGCATTGGGAAGACAGTGGATACCAAGGAGTGAGTCAGTAATGTCATTTTGGAGGGAGGTGGACAGAGAAGAGAATGGAGAGATAGAGGCGTTGATCACAGCTACATTTGGAGAGGCTATAGACAGACAGAGCTGCAGATAGAAGTGGTCAACATCCAGGAGGTTGAGAAAGAGTGGTAATAGGTTCTGTCACCTGTGCCCAGAGGTCAAGAAGCCCAGACTCAAGAAAGGGCCAGGGCCGTGTGATTATCAGGTCACCAGAGTCTGCAGCCTGGCAATAGTCAGGGCTCAAGAGACTGAGGTTAGGGAAGGAGGAGAGGAAGTAAAGGCAGTGGCCAGGCCAGGAAGATGGTACCAGGAAGACACCTGGAAGCAGATAAGGCAGAGCATGGCATGGAGTGTAGGAGGAGCCTTTCCTGGGGCTCCAGAAGCTCAGACTTTTAGGGGCACAGATTAAGACAAGAGATCTCAAACACTATTAGGGAGGGGTGTAATATGGTGCCACTACTGTACAAAAACAGTTTTGTGGTTCCTTAAGAAGCTAAACATAGAATTGCTTTATGAATCAGCATATGTGAATTTCACCTCAATTTTTAAAAAGTGCTGGCAGGAAACAAAGCACTCGAATGGGGTAATTTGAAAATAGTTTAATAAAGGTCTATTTTCAAAGGGATAGTATGCCAGGGGCTAATTTTCATTCCTGAGGTAGGGGACCAAGAGGCCAAAGCAGTTACTGGAACTCAGATCAGATAGGGTTGTGTGGAGAGGACTTAGTGGCAGGAACTGTGAACCTTTAGCAGAGGAACATAGCCAGCCTGCATTGGACCACATAAGAAAGGAGATGAGTTATTAATACCCTGACTTAACCCTCCTCCTTCCCACCAATGCTTGCTGTGGCTCCCCATTGGTTGAATTTAACTGCAAGCCACGAGGCAAAAGGGCCTGTTGAGTTGTCTCCAGGAGTCAGACTCCCAGGAAACAAAACAGAAGGGTGAAGATGGGACAGGAGATATAAGAGATTTGAAGCAAAAACAGGAGCAGTTCAAAGGTATGGAGAAAATGGGGGAACTCATGACTCATAGCTCTCTTGCTCTCGATCCACGCACCAGCTGCTCATAATCATTTTTACCAGACCCACCAAGGCCATGTCTCCCACCTCAAAACCATTGCACATGCTCTTCCTTCTGGTTGGAATTCTTTTTCCTCTCATCTACTCAACTACTCTTCCTTATACTACAGGTCTAAGCTCAAATTTTCTCTGAGGTCTTGCCCAACTTCTGGGTTCAGTTCAAGCCCATACTCAATGCACCTACAGGTCTTGAACTTCCTCAGAAAAAAATCAGTCTGGAAGGATTTGTTTAGCTACTGTCTCTCCTTAGATAGGACTGTGAGCTCCATGCAGGTTGACAGGGTCTGTCACATTTCTCATGGGACTGCATTTTTCCCAATCCCATTTGGCAGACAGCACATATTCATTCAACAGACGTTAAATTCCCAGAGACACCAGACATTGTACTGTAATGAACAACATAGCACATTCCTACTCTCTGGAGATGACATAAAGCATGCAATTAAAAACATATAACTTAGGAGGGTTCTACATGGCATATCCTATAGAGAAAAATCCAGCGAGGTAAGGAGATGAGAAAGGCCTGTCTGAAGAGGTGATATTTGAGTGGAGCCCAGAGGGAAGGAAGGAGATATCTAGAGGAAGAGCATCCAGGCAGAGGGCACAGCCTGGGCAAAGGTTCTGACACTGGAGAACAACCAAGACCAGTGAGGCTCAAGCAGAGCCAATGATTGGGAGAACAGTAGGAGGCCAGGGCAGGGAAGTGATGAGCAGATCCTTCAGGGTCTGGTGGGCCACTAGGAGAACTTTTACTCTTATAAAGGTGGGAACCATGAAATGTTCTGTGCTGAGGATGGGATCTGACCTAGATTTTAAGACTCCCTCTACTGGCCTTGGACCTGCGCTGCCACACTACAGGGACCGAGAGCTGTAACAGGTAGTGAAATTTGGGATTTATTTTCAAGGTTGAACAGGCCAGAATTTGTTGATGGATGGGATGAGGGTGAGTCAAGGGTGACTCCAGGGCTTTTGGTCTAGGTCACATCAGTGTAAAATAGAGAATAAAAGAGAGAGGGGGAATAAAGAGAAAGCCTACACATGGGAAGAAAGATATGAGAGGGAATTTCCAAGGGAAGAGGAGGATGATAGCAACTAAGAGCCAGGTGGGTGCAAGGAGACAGCTTGAGATGAGTGGAAAGTGGAGGAATCCTCAGAAGCAAGAGAGATAGAGAGTGTGTCCCCTAGAAATGGGGAAGAATGGGATGGGGGTGCTGTTGGGGAGGGAGCTGAGAAGACTCAGGTGCAAAGACCCCTCTTTCTGTGGGGGTTTGGGAGAGAGTCTGTGGTTCCTCTCCTGCCTGGGTGAGAAATTCTAGTGATCAGTAACTCTGGATGAGCCAATGGAGGTGGGGAAGCTGGCCTTTGTCTAGATTGACCCAGACCCCTCCTGTCCTTCACATACACCTGTTTCTATTTCCCCATAGTTCAAGTGACTAAATCTCCACTTCCCTGTATCAGGGCTCAGGGACACGGGATTTGTGGAGTGGAAGGTAGGTGACACTGCTAATGTCACCAACACCTCATTCAGACCTCCCTCAGCCAGCTGGACTCCATTCCAATACACCTCCTTCAATTTAAAGCTCTCCTATCTCTCAGTCAATCAAACTCCAATCTCCTATTTCTCATCCAATTGAACTCTTCCCCCTGTCCCCCCCTCCAGTCAAGCCCACAGTTGATCAGACTCTGCTTCAACTAGATTTACCTTCTGCTCCTTAGCCAACTGACCCTCAGTCAATCAAACCCCCTTCTTTCTTCCCAACCTATGAGCCTTTGCCCACCTTACCACTTACTTCCACCTTCCAGTCCCTCAGCTAATCAGACTTGGCTCTCCCCCGACCTGGGCCTATCAAAATACCTCTCTTGTCTGTCAGCCAATAGAATGCACCTTTAGGGCACAGCACTGTGAAGCTGTCCACAGCCTCTGCTGTGCCGGTTCCATTCCTGGCTGGCCAGGGAGATACCCACATGGTGTGGCAGACTTCTCCTTCCTCGCCCGCTGCTCCCCTCAGCAGTGTTTTCAGTCCGTCAGCCTGTTCTGCTCCCCGCTCTGTCTCTGGTGAAAACTCTCATCCTCCCACACCTCTAGGCTGTACCCCAGTTCTTGTATAAATAAATAAATCTTCAAAAAAAAATGCACCTTTAGGAGCAGCCTCAGCATCTAGGCCTGACTGCTCCTATCAGTTCCATGGCTTTGGGCACACGCCTTAGTATATTTGTGCCTCATTCTTCTCAAATGTAAAATGAGGTTGGTCATCCTCCTGCCTCCTTAGGATGAGCCAACCTGAAGAGTAGTCTCTCCTTAGGAACATGTTTCCAAATATATGTTACTTTTTTCCTCTGACCTCCCTCAGGCTCCCTAAAGCTATTCCCTCTGCTGCCAAACCCTTCCATGCCAGACCAGCTCCTATTCACCCTCCAGAACCCAGGTGGAGGAGCCCCTCCTCCATAGCCTTTCTATGCCCCCTTCCCAAGCTGTACACTAGCTCCTCATTCATGACCACATGGGGCTGAGGTGTCTGCCTGCAGTTGCCCCCTGGCTGGGAAGAACCTCAGACCCTCAGTCTGGGGCAATTTGGGGTCCCAGAATTTCTCCACATGAAACTGAGCACAGAATATTGGTACCACTTGAATAACTGCTAACTAACTGGATCACTGAATAAATCAATTTTAAGAATAATCAACAGGAGAGGGAGTCCAGAATTAGAGTTTGGGGAAATCATTAAATTTCTCAAAATTGTGTGCAAAATCCTAATCTTTCAAGGAAGATTAGAAGCCATGTTTGGGCAGGTGGGGCACCTGAAGGGCCTCATTTTACAAACTGGAGGGCCAGAGAAGGTCAATGATATGACCATGATTACCCAGCCTGATGGAAAAAGAGTCAGAATTTTAACTCCTATAATCTGTCTGAGGAAGCTTTTCTGGATTTGATAACGAGCATATGGAAGGCCTTCATCCTCATGAGCCCATTTAGGAACAAAAAAAAATTCATATTTATGAGAAACCCAATAGCCATTCAGTTGACAGACATTTATTGAACACCTGAACACCCTGGGATGCAGACCTGAGCGGGACAGGTGCCTGGCCTCCTGAAGTTTCCATCCAAGTTGGGGAGTAGCAATAAATAAGCAAATGAATAAAAATGAGTAGCAATAAATAAGCAAATGAATAAGATAATGCCAGATAGGGAAATTAGTAAAAAGAATGAGTACAGGGAGGGACCAAGAACCTAGCTTAGATAAGGTAGAAGGGGCCAGGTTTCTAGGAGAAACTGATGTTTGAACTGAATGATAAGGAAGATATAAATAGGAGCATCCCAAGCAAAGGGAGTGTAAGCTCAAAGGTCCTAGGGCTGAATGAGGGTGTCATCCTCAAGAAGCAAGGGGCCAATGAGCTGAAGTGGGGAACCCCCTAGGAGAGGAGATCAGAGGGGTGGTTTGTGAAGGGTTTTGTGTATGCAAGCGCAAATGAGAGAGAAGGGGAAGAGAGATAGAGGCAGGGCAGATCCTCCAGGGCAAAGGGACAACAGGAGCTAATGCCCAAAGGCAAGGAAGTGCCCAAACCACCCTCTATTGGGCACCTGAAGCCAGCCTCTGGCTGTGCTTGTATCAACTATAGAGCAGAGAGGAGTGAGTGGGTTGGGGCAAAGGTGACCTCTACCAGGTAACCAGTTGTCCTTTGTGAACATGGGTCACCCCAGGCTGATTCAGCAAGATTCTGTATTATCAAAGTTCAGTTCCTCAAAGAGCAAAGCAACACAGCAACAAATCCCACCACCATCACCACCCAAAAGACCTGCCTTAAGAATCTTGCTTTGGTAGCTTCCAGAGAATTAAGTTTCAGGAAACCTCAAGCACGCTTGCGTGTTTGCATGGATCCAGTCATCAATTGCTGTATGACTTTTGGTAAGTTGTTTTACCCATCCGAGCCTCAGCTAACTACTTCTTTTGGTTTTTTGAGTCATCTGTACATCAAAGTGTTGCCAGAAAAAAACAGATTCTTATCTGCCTGCCATAATTGTCAAACTAAAGACAAAAGACAGGGATTGGCTCTTTAATATGCACTTTAATGAGATCCTCAAGCTAATCTAAGAACACCCAACATTGTGCTCCAAAGAAAACCATTCTAACAACTCATCTCTAACAGCCTATTTTATAGTGAGTTAAGCAAAGACAGTTATCAGTAAACAGCCTTCACTCCAGGTGGTTAACAACTTCTGGGAGTTTTATGGTGCCCTGTTTTCCTGGCAGCTTCCCCTCCACTGGCACCTGGATTTAGAGCACTTCAGTCCTTCAGGGACAGCTCAGTATCTGACAGAAATGCCATCCATCACTCTTCCAGGAGCCTCCTGGACTGGAAAGTTAACTCACAGCAAACAAGTCATAGGTCAAACAATGCGTAAGTACAGATTCCTAAACTATGCATGGTGCCTTTTCATCCTTCTCTGTAGGCCCTATCACTGTCAAAATGCTTAATACAGGTCCTTCCTCTGCCTACACTGCCACATTCATTCTCCACAATAAGTTAGGGATTGGAGTATGATCTTTCTATAGGCAGAGAGATGGAGACTCAGAGAAAGAAAGGAAGTTGTCCAAGTTGGGAGTTAAAACCAGATCTGTCAGATTCTAGGGACAGTGAGACCTTGGAGGGCCCAGTCTTACAGGAGCCCCCTTAACAAGTTTCTGGCACCCCAGGGTCACTAAGCAAATGGAGCTATTCTAATGGTCATCAGCCTCAGGATGGTGCTGTGTCACCTCGCCCAGCCTGTTTCCTCCCCTGAAAAATGGGAACTTAGAATTCTCTCCTGGCTGACTTTGGGAGGCATATATAGTGTATTAAAATAAATGGTATGGTTTGGCAGTTTCTCAAAAAATTAAACCTAGAGTTATCACGTGACCTAACAATTCCATTCTTAGATATAGACCCCCAAAATTGAAAACAGCACACAAACAAGTACATGTGCATAGCAATACTTAAATAGTCCTAAAATAGAATATTATTCAGTCATCACTAGGCATAGAGCCCTGACACAGCTACATGGATGAACCTCAAAAGCATCAGCCTGAGGGAGACAAGCCAGAGAAAAGGCCACATAATATACATTCTGGGCAGTTCTCCTGCCCACCTGTGACTATGCAGGCCTTCCTCTGCCTCTCTTAACAAACCTGTCCCTTTCAAGGGCAGCTCTTTATGCCCACTGGTGTCTGTATAGACATCCTTTCTTTCCTTTCCATTTTTTATAATAAACCTGCCCTTTTGGATATAATATACACATGATTCTGTTAATCTGAAATGCCCAGAATAGGTAATTATTTTTTAGATAGAAATCAGAGTGGTCATTGCCAGAGGTTGGGGCAACCAGAAGTTGAGGGGAGGGGTAAACAGGAAGTGGTTGCATAATTGGTGGGGGGATTTCCATCTGGGATGATGAAAATGTTTTGGTACTAGATACAGGTGATGGTTTCATAACACTGTGAATATTTTAAATGCCACCAAATTGTTCACATTGAAATGATTAATTTTATGATGTATGAATTTCACCTAAATAAAAAATAAATGTGGGAAATGCGTTGATATGATTTCAAGTCACCAATTTCTTTGCCATGGCCATTATAATTCCCAGAGACAGAGATAGAGAAATCAAGCACAGAAAAGGCAGGTGCTCCACACAGAAAATGGGGAAGCCTAAATTGAACCTGAGGTTTCTCTGACCTCAAGAAGTTTCCACTCCTCTGCCTGGGAGCCATGCAGGTGACAAACACCCACAGTAAGAGCACCACTCTTAGCACAGGTGATTCAGCTAGAGGGCAGACGTCACAACTCAGAACATTGTTCTGAGTTTCACCTGATTCTTTTCCCCGGGCCCAGAAGAAACCAGCTAGGGAATTTCAAGCTAAGGGGCTGTCCTTTGTTCAGACATAAAACCTTCATTATTGTCCCTTCTCCATGTCTAGTGCCATGCTGATGCCTCAAGATTACTCAGTCCTGGAGCCAGCACCCAAGGAGTTCCCCCTGGTGAATATGGAGTTGGACAGATACTTCCAACCTCTTGTTGTCAGGGCTAAGCCAGAGAAAGAAGCCTGAAGCTAACAAAGCCAAGAGGAGAAAGCTAGATTGGGAAGGGAAGCCTTCCTGGAAAGGGAGATATTAGAGATGGGTTTTGAATACTATATAGGAGTCCACTGATTCAAAGGAAAACTCTTGTGGGTATTTTACACACTCACATGCTTTACTAGTGGGAATGCAAAGCTACTTGAACCATGCTGAGGGGAAACTGGTAATACAGTCCTGCATCACTTAATAATGAGGATACAGGAAATACGTTTTTAAGTGATTTCATCATTGTCCAAATATCAACCTGTAATTACACAATCTTAGATGGTATAACCTTTTACATACCTAGGTTATATGCTATTGTAACCACTGTCATATATGTGGCCCGTTGTTGACAAAATGTCATTAAGTGCCACATGACTATATTGGCAAAATTATGTTTGTACATTTACAGGAATATATCTTGATAATTTCCTTGCAAAAATGAGAAAAGAATGAACAAAGCTTTTCACATCAGTGCTAAACTATAGTATAAATATTAAAAGACTGGAAATCACCCATATGTCCATAAGTAGAGAAATGGTTGGATAAATTATGGCACAGCCATATGATATACTCCTGTAAAAAGGAGTGAGGAAGATCTCTATTAATTGGCATGGAGAGATAGCCAGAAGACAGTGGTAAGTGGATTCTATCAGTGTGTATGCATACTCAATAACATCACATGATATAATATGATATGATGTAGTATAATATAGTATACTTTTAATGAAAATATAAACCATGATAAAATTATTATCTGAGAAGGAGGGAAAAATATGATGGAGGATACAAGGATACAGGAAGAGAAGCTAGATGGCTCTCTATAGATTTAGCTTTATATTTTATTTTTATTTTTATTTTTTAGTTATTATTTTATTTTAAATAATTCTTACATCATTTTTAATTTTTGCACACCATATGCATTTTCATTTTGGTTATATTCCCCATACAATTCCCCCACCCCTTATTTTAATCCTAATCCCTCCTCTGCTCCCCCCCGCCCAGTAGTGTGTCTCTGGTCTACAGTTACTTACTCATTTTGATTTTTTCTTTGTTATAATTAGTCTTTTTCCTGGTCCCTTATTTAGGTTTCCTAAATTCCTGCTATGAATGAGACCATTCAGTATTTTTCTTTTTTTCTGGCTTATTTCACTGAGCATGATCCCTTCCAGCTCCATCCATGTTACTGCAAATTGCATGAGTTTATCTTTTTTGATGCTGAGTAATATTCCATTGTGTATATGTACCACATCTTCTTGATCCAGTCATCTATTTTTGGGCATTTGGGTTGTTTCCATAGCTTAGCTATTGTAAACAGTGCTGCTATAAACAGAGAGCTGATGAGACTCAACAAAAACAAAGTTAATAATCCAGTGGGCCTCCCTGGTGGCGCAGCAGTTGAGCGCTGGGTTGCGAAGCTGCCTGCAGCCTCTGCAGCGCCGGTTCAATCCCCGGCTGCCAGCAAGGGTCCCACATGGCGCGCAGACCCCTCCTGCCGCCCGCTGCTCCCCTCAGCAGTGTACTTCATCAGTCTGCCTGTTCTGCTCTTCGCTCTGGCTCTGGTGAATCCTCTCACCCTCCTGCGCTTCTGACTGTACCCAGTGCTTATATAAATAAATAAATTAATTAAAAAAAAACCAAAGTTAATAATCCAGTCAAAAAATGGGCAGAAGAGCTAAAAAGAAACTTCTCCAAAGAGGAAATGCAAATGGCCAACAGGCATATGAAAAAATGTTCAACATCACTTGTAATCAGGGAAATGCAAATCAAAACTACCATGAGATACCATCTTACACCAGTGAGAATGGCACTTATTAAAAAAACTAGCAACAACAAATGCTGGCAAGGATGTGGAGAAAAAGGAACTCTCCTGCACTGCTGGTGGGAGTGTAAAATGGTTCAACCACTATGGAAAGCTGTGTGGAGATTCCTCAACCTACTAAAGATAGAGCTTCCATATGATCCAGCAATTCCACTCCTAGGGATTTACCCAAAGGACACAAAAACATTAATTTAAAAGGGCACCTGCACCCCAATATTTATAGCAGATCTACCTTTTTAGACTTGACTTTGGGACGATGTAATCATCTTATATAATTCTGAAATAATACTAGATTTAAAAAATCTAATAGATTTAAAAAAAAATTGCCTCACTACACACCCATTATGGTGGCCACTATTACTAAAGAAAATAGCAAGTATTGGTGAGGAAGGGGAGAAATTACTCATTACTAATGGGAACATAAAATGATGTAGCCATTGCAAAACAGTATGACAATTTCTCAAAAAATTACACATATAATTACCACATGATCCAGCAATTCCACCTCTGGGTATGTACCCAAAAGAAGTGAAAGCAAGGACCCAAAGAGATATTTATACATCGATGTTCATAGCAACAGTATTCACGATCACAGAAGTAGATATTATTCTGTCTTAAAAATTGTGACAAATGCTATAATATGGATGTAGCATGAAAACATTTTGTTAAATGAAATGTTAATTATAAGAGACAAATATTATATGATTCCACTTACATGGGGTTCCTAATGAGTCAGATTCATAGAGATAGAAAATAGAATGGTGGTTCTGGGGACTGGGGGAGGGGAGAGGGAATTGGTGGTCATTGGGGACAGCTTTTCAGTTTAGGAAGATAAGAAAGTTCTGGAGATGGAGGGTGGTGATGGATGCATTACAATATGAAAATTCCTAATGCCACTGGACTGTGCACTTAGAAATTGTAAACTGATCAATTTTATCTTGTGCTTTAAACTGTGTTTCAATAATAATATTAAGGTACTGTTGGTTTGTTATTCTGAGATTAAAGTGAGTATGTTGTAGAAACAAGAAAA